ATGAGCCTACAAGGGAGCCAGAGAGGGACTCTTTGTTAGGAGCTGCAGTGATAGGACAAGGGGTAATGGGTTCAAACTGAAGGAAGGGAAGGTTAGGTTAGATATTAGAAAAATGTTTTTTTACTATAAGGGTGGTGAGACATTGAAACAGGTTGCCAGGGTCATGGTGGCTGCCCTGACCCTGGCAGTGTTCAAGACCAGGCTGGATGAGGCATTGAGCAACCTGATCCAGTGAGGAGGTGTCTCTGCCCAGGGAGGGTTGGGACTAGATGGTCTGAAAGGTCCATTTTAGGCCCTAAAATTCTATGATTCTATGATTCATTTAAGTCTTTTTTCTTTTAACCTAAGTAATTTACATTTGAAACAAAACAGATATACAAAAAATACCAATGGCACTCATTGAAATACATGCATAGCTGTTTTTTGCATACTTTATTCATCAGAAGAGCCAAAAACCTGTGCTTTGTGTCCTCTTCTCTTACCGGCTAGTTGATATGAAAACTGTGTCTACAAGTAATTTTTCTATTCCAGGCTGTAATTCGTACTGAAATTGCAGCCATGTGAGACATCTCCACAGACTGTAATGGGTCTGCTATATTTAGCAACTTATTTTGTGTTGAGTACTCTAATTTACTGTAACTTTTCCTGCATATTTCAGCATTTAGAAGAGTCCTTTGAATCTGTGGTTCTGAAATGGCACTAGTGTGCTTGCAGTGTTTACCTCATCCCATCAGTCAGCAACAGGAAAAGGAGAAGTGAGTCATCAAAGCAGTAGAATATTTTTCCTTTAAAGTGTCTGTGGATTTTGGACAAACTGGGCAGGCTGCTCTCTTCTCCATAACCACATGCTTCCCACCACCTACTCCACAACATCCAGGAGATGGTTTGGGGAACTAGGTCATCAGCAAGAAAATTAGCTTTACTGAAAGTTTTCGTCTTGATTTACATCCCAGAGAACTGGTCATAACCAAGTCAGGCAAGTAGTAGTGGTAGCGTAAGGGAAGGAACAGAAAAATCCAGAAAGAAGGAGACAAAGGAAGCATTATCCTCCTTCTCAATGGCATTAGGCTGGCTCAGCCATTTCCTAAAACTGCACTCTTAATTCCCTGGTAAAATCAAATGGGAGAAAGAAACAGTAGGTGAGATTGAGGGTTTAACTATCCTAATGTAGAACCATCCAGTGCCTAAACTCAGCATGATGAGTATTTAAACGTGGGAGGTAGACTTCAGTGTCAATTACATTTTTTAAAGGATTGCCATTATTTTTACTTGCTATATTAGACTATTCCTCTGTCCACTTAATTCTGCAGGCTACTGCATTTAATATTTAGCTTGCAGTGGGTTTGTTATGATAGACAGAACTTATACAGGCTGTCCATCTAAATACCATCACCATAGAACCATAGAATTTTTAATTTTTTTATGTTCATGATTAATGAAAAGCCTGGAACAAGAAACTCAGTATCTGAGGCGCAAACAGAGCTGGTTTTTTGAAGTGAGTATGGCTGATCACTGCTAAAATTTTACATGGGAATTATGTGTCTCATTCCCAGCCATGGCTGAGCAGGCCTTGTCAGAAAAGATTTCCCGTTACTCTGAAACTCTGTTTTTGTTATGTGGAAGTTTATGAAGAAGTTGAACTTTCTCACACATACAGCATTTTTCACAGAAAAAAAAATTAAGCAGTGGGTCTGCAGTGCTTGAGAATAAGCAAAATCACAGCAGAAATTCCTGAGAGTTCCAGCATGAAACACTGCTCCTGATCAGTGTTTCAAAGAGAGGTCCCCTGGGAATACTTTGCTACTCCCCTACAAAGTTGCATTTTCCTTTAGACCTGAACAAAGGTTGGGTAGGTAAAATGAAAAGAGATCAAGTACCTGAGCTTATCCTTTTAATGCAGATCCCTGTCCTCCTGTCTCCTTCATGTGAGAGAATGTATCACTTATCTTTAGGGCATGGGTTTATTGGATACATATTGCATTAGGAAGAATAAGATTTTCTATGCAGATGTCTCTAGAGGCCTACAGCTCTTTGGCCGATATCATATAGTATATTTTAAGGTAGATGTCATTTTTGCAAGGCCTCCTCAAAGTAAAACATGCCTGAAGTTCATGGGGTTTAGGTTTTATCTTTAATTTGGCTCTTCTCGGATAATCTTTTTTTACAGCAAGTCAACACTTCAGGATAAAGCCTAGAGAAATGTGTTTGTCATTTGTCCTTACTGCTTGTCAGTTGGGATGTAAGTGGGGAGAAAGATCTAATTTCCAATATAACCTCCACTTAAGGAGAGGAGTATCGTCCAAAGAAGAGGATGGTGTTGGTTTGGTTGTGTCTGATGAAGAAGAGGAATGGATGGTCAGCTTTGAACTCATAAGTAATTGGGCGACACAGTGGCACTGCAGCAATCCCCATGGCACAAGCTGCTTCAGTGCCCTCTTCATTGACTTCCATTATTGTCTTCTGGATGGCCTTAGACACAACCAAGCCATCTTTCGTAGATATCCCTGACAAATCAGCTTTTCCCCAGTCAAAAACATTCATTACTCCCATCTCCTGGAGAGTTTTGTTGAGAACATAACTTTCCTCCATCTTGAACTGAGGCAGGTACACCTTCACTTTCAGCGGTTGCATCTTAGTTGTGCTGGTCCATTCTGCTAGTTTTTCGTAGGTTAGGGCACATTCAAGCTGTAAGACAGTATTGATAATAATGATTGACACCATAATGAATGAAAGGAAAAGAAGTTCCTTGAGTACTGTGTACAGTTCTGGTGTTCCCAACATAAGAATGACATGGAACTGTTGGAGCAAGTCCAGAGGAGGCCACAAAGTTGATAAGAGAACTGAAGTACCTCCCCTATGAAGACAGGCTGAGAAAGTTGGAGCTGTTCAGCCTGGAAAAGAGAAGGTTGTGTGGAAACCTCATAGCAGCCTTCCAGTATCTGAAGGGGCTATGGGGAAGCAGGAGAGAGACTCTTTGTTAGGAACTGTAGTGACAGGACAAGGAGTAATGGGTTCAAACTGAAAGAGGGGAAATTTAAGTTAGATGTTAGGAAGAAATTTTTTGATATGCAGGTGGTGAGGCACTGGCACAGGTTGCCTATGGAGGTTGTGGATACCCCAGCCCTGGCAGTGTTCAAAGCCTGGTTGGATAAAGCCTAGAGCAACCTGGTCTAGTGGGAGATGTCCCTGCCCATGACAAGGCAGGGTTAGGACTAGAAGATCTTTAAGGTCCATTCCAAGCCCTTAACATTCTATGATTCTGTGATTCTAAGTTCAGTGTTTCCCACTTGTCTTCTGACCACGTTGGAGCAATGTTAAAGTATTGTTCTCTATGTATGTTATTAGAGAGAAAATAAAGTATTACCTGTTCTAGGCCAGTAAAGTCATCACAGTCAACTTCAGGAAGAAGAATGAACATGCTCAGTTCATTATTAAAGTATTGGAGCTCTATGACTTTCATTTTCAGTTCCTCTATGATGGCCATGTTAAAATAACCTTCTTGAAACATCATCTGCACTGTCCTCCTCTCATTCTAGAACACAAGAAACATACTAAATGGAAAATACAGGAATTATCAGCCTGGTTTCAATTGGTTTCAGTTTTCTCCTGAGTTAATTTGTCTTTAGCTCATTTTTTTCCTGGAAGCACACACTGTTCTCTTTGTAAATAGTAGCAGAGAAACAGAATACTGAATTTCAATCCCAAAAGCAGACTGTTTTTGAAACAGCATCCTTAGTTGCAAAATAACCAACAAAGTTAGTGCATGTGCTCAGTGGCTGTGACCTAACCAGGATCTCAGTTGCAAGAGATGCATCTTCTGATGTGAATTAGTACAAAGAGTTACATATTTGGTTATCAAACTGGAGAGAAGATGCAGCCTTCTATTGTTCTGGCTGAAGACCACTGTTTTTGTTGTGGGATTACAGAGAGGAGGAAAGCTCCCATCTGTTGTTAAAGGGGACATACATCTGATTTCCATCTCCCAGCTGCTTCAGGTCCTGCCCATAGTGTACCTTGTTCAGATGGAAGTATGTTTCTTTAGTGTCTTCTTTCTTAAATTCTACTGCCCACTTTCCTTTAAAATATATAGCATTGACCAGGAGAAGTACAGTAGAGGGATCAATAAGCCCAGCAGCAAACAGGTCTTTGATTTTACCTTTAAAAATAATGAATTAAGAAGGATTATTTCTTGGTTCAGGCAATCAGCTGACTTTGACTACGAATAATTATTTCTGTAAATCTGAAAAGTAGTATAATGCTGTCAGACAAAGAATAAAAAGTTTATGTACATCTTTGGAAGACAGGAATTCAATGCAATTTTGCTCCTCTTCCTACATCTATTTCCTACTGAGAAAAAAAATATTAAAAAGCAGTATGTGTTTAATATATAAAAATCTTCCTACCTTTAGAAAAAAACTAGAAAGTGAAATTATGACATGATATTTCTAACTGGTTCAATTGTAAGCCAAACAACCTGCATATTTGCTTCCTTACCTTTTGTCTCATTTTCCACCCAGAAGTTAATTTTGTCTCTGACTTCTTCTTCAGTGTATTTAAAATTCACTGGTTCCAGTTCTGCTCGATAGAATTTCTTTGTGGAATCCAAGTATTGCTGGAAAGTTCAAATTGCAGAAGTTTACTGCAACGTGATCATTTTTGTAAGATAGATAATTTCATGGCTTCAGGATAATTCCATGTAGTAGAACAGCAAGAAAAAATGAGTAAAAAGGCATATGTAACAAATTCATTGAAATAACTCAAACATTCAGTTTTTAGAGAGATAATATTTAAAAAAAATTTGCAAATATATTTTTTTGTATTTTCAATCTGTACTGAGCATCAGAAATGTCTCAGCACAGTGTAAAATATCTAAGATCAAAATCTGATATCTTTGTTTAAGATATATCTAAGATCAAAATCTGATATCTTTAAGAGTTTTTATCATTGTTATGCTGCCTGTCTTCCTCCAACCACCAAATGATGAAGGTTGTTTTCTTTTAAATGAATAACCAGGACTGATAATGTCACAGTGAGATGTACTGTGTTACTCAGTGTGAATATATACACTGTAAAATTTATAACTTAAGTATAAAACTTTAGCTGGCTGCTGGTCACCTTTTTCCAGCTCTGAAAGTATCTCTTTACCTACAGCACAAGGGAAGCATCTTGGAAATGAGATGAGATCTTGACTTGAAAAGAGAAAGGTGGTTATAGAGGTAAAACAGCACTCTTCCTGCAATACTCTTTAAAACATCTCAAGTCTGTTTTCCTGAGTGAAATATTTGTATTGACTTGCATTGCCTGGGCATCATTGTTCCCCAGGAGTGTTCTGAGGTGCTCAATTCAACTTATATTAGACTAACTGACATAAATCTCAAAGATGTTACTTTCTTCTAAGTCTTGTTTGAAAAGGTACCAGGAATGAGAGTCCTGTATTTGCATAGACTCTTAGAGAAAAGTGCAAGAGTAAGTCAAATCACTTTATTAGAATCATAGAATGGAAACAAAGAAGGCACTGGGGGAGAGGGAGAAGTCTTCTGATGGACACAGAGCTTTCTTGTTTGGATAGAAATAGCACAGCAAGTGCCAGTTCTGTTAGACATAGAGCATATGTGGTAAGGATATATTGACAGTGATCACTGCTATCACATTTTCTGGAATGCTCAGGGGGAGCTATTACCATAGATCTGTTTCTTCATCTTAAAGTTTTAACTCTGGCTTCCCCATGCTCTGCCCCGTGTCTAACCACTGGGCAATTGAGATGGAAAGGCTCCCTGAGACTGTGAGCTGTGAAGTGTAGACATTTAGCACCACATCCTAACAGTGCCATTGTGTTTCATTTCCCTTTGTGCTTTATGATGGAAAACATTCTGCTGAACTAATTCCCAACTACTGTTAAAATGGACATTGCTTTATGATGGAAAACATTCTGCTGATCTAATTCCCAGGAACTGTTAAAATGGACACGGACACCACGGCCACTTACCTGGAAGAATGGATAAGTAATTTCTCCAAAGAGCCTGTTGGCAATGGTGAGACAACAGCCTGGTCTGGGTTCACTGACTTCAGCCAACAGAGCCTGGAACTGGGAATGGACTCCTTCAGCTTCCTCACACTTCAAACAGGAAAACAGAATTTTCATGGTAGGCTTGAGCTTTCCTATTCAAAGCTGGACCTGAGGGTGAATTGCAGTCTCCCTCTGCATGAGAATCCCAACTCTGCCCAGTTGATACAGGCATCAGAATAAATGCATCAGGACACCACCTCCTACTCCCCCTGTACCAGATGTACAGAATGACAAAACAATTCCCCTTCAGACCCACACCAGTTCACCTCCAAATCATGTTGCATCATACAGTGATGTGTCTGTGCACACTAAGCAAAAGACTCATGGCTTAGAGACTGGGAGAAAAAGCTCCAAGGTGTCTTTGGCATGCCCTGTAGACAAACCTTTGCAGGTGCCAATTGAAGCACTTAGCATATTTTAGACTGGTACTGCTGTTTTGGTTAGAAACCTGTAATGAGAAGACTTATCTTTGGAAATGTGTCATCTTACAAGGCCTCTTAAATAACTAATAATGGAACGGTAATAAGCAGGTCTGCAAATCTAGACGGAGAGACAGGGATCAGCCTTGCCATGCTTTATGATTAAGTGACTCTCTGCAACAAAAAGGGTGACAAACTGAGTCCTGTTGCTTCATCTCACAGCTGCAATTGTGTCTTACCTTCTCAGAAGGGTATCTGTTTCCCTGGCTTGTACTTCTCAAAACTTCACTGAAATGAAATACCTGCAATGTAAATGTTGGGTGAATGTAGCTGAGGGATGGTACTTCAAAGCTAAAGCAGCGTTGCAGCCTATCCCAAAACACAGCCAGACACTGGTGAAAGCCCCCTTTGTTCTTTACAATAAGATTCTTGCTAGTGAACCAACAGTTTTAGTAGAGGGTGAGCTTGTGAGATCTTTGAAATTTTTGAGATCTTTGAAACCTTTCTTCTTAAGAGAGAAGGCTTTGGGTTTCCAGAGAAGGCAGAAGACCATATTAAAGGGAACAAACACTGAGCCCTGGAGGGTGCAGGGATACCTCCAAAACATTTTCTTTAGCATGGATGCATTCATTGAATGATCAATTAGTGAAATGTTTAGTCTGAAGAAGTTTGGTACATTCATTGAATGATCAATTAGTGAAATAATGTTTAGTCTGAAGAAGTTTGGTGTTAGGAACAGCATCATGTATTTTTAAAGGGCCTTCTGTGTGCATCAATCCTTTGTATGTTTAGAAACTATTTAAGATGGTCCTATCAGCCTCTTGGCTCATACCTTGCACTATCCCCTTTTCAGAGCAAAGCAAATGTACCTTCTCAATCTGTTCAAGTGTGTTGCCCCTGGCTCCAAGGACAACCATTCCAAAGGCAGCTGACAGACTTAGTGGGGAGAAGAAGATGTTTTCATTTACTTTTCTTTTGCTCAGCTCTCTGAAAAAGTCAAGACAGAACTTGGCATTGGCTGCACTGAGAGAGCACATTGTGTTCCTGTAATCTCCTGCAACAAGGGAAAAAATAATTTAGGCTTCTCATCGTTACACCTGGTACGTTTAGATGCCTTGGTAGAGTATGGTAAGGTTTTCTGCAATAGCTTGGCTGAATTATTCAGCACTTCAGAGAAGATTCTCTGTTCATCACATTTAGGATTTCACAGTGAATCTGAAAAACAGCATCCCAAATGGCAGGAGAAACACATTTGCAGAAACAGTGTTCTGAGCTGGACTGTTTCTCCATTCTAGCAATAGCTATGGATTTGTCACTGAGTCCTAACTTTGTCCTAACCAGAATGCCAGCTCAGTTTGTATCTTGATCTTTCCAGCCTTAAGTCCTCCAGGCATAGCACTTATTAATTACAACCTTGATCATATCTTACTCTCTGTCTCTAAAAACTTTGTGTGTATTAATCAGCTCTGCCTCACATACTGTGTCCTTCTAAGGCTGGTTGCTTAACAAATATTTGACAGAAAATCTAACTACAGACAGGCTCACTTAGTAAGACTTTCAATGATACATTGTGTATCAGTAGAAAATTCCAGTTATATATTTTTTATGCTATCTGCAGCTTAAACTCTTTTCCCATGTGCACTTCAGTTGTGATCACAAGTGTTGAAGATATCTTTCCCCCATTAAACAAGAAGAATTAAATTATCTATATAAATATTTAAAAGATGGAACAGTATAGAAAGACTATGCTCTCATAAATTACCAATCTGGATAATACAGAAGAAGCGTGAAATAGTTTGGTTTAAATCTTCTTTAGAAACACACCTGGTAAAGCCATTGTGCAAGTTCAGCACAGATTCATCACACAGCCCATACATTTTAATGGAATTCAAAACATGGCATAGCATCTTGAAAATATTCTCACTACCTCAAAATAGGCCATGTAACATGTATGTGTGCTAGGCAGATATGTATATCATTAATGCACATATCAATCTTTAGAGATTTCCTAGTTCTGTTACTTAGAATTAAAGATCATGGAGATATTTACCTTCTCCTCAGGACTGACGCTGTCAACTTGACTGTTGAGCTTGATGATGAGGCTTCTGGAGCAATGGGATATAGAACCATTGCCACTCCCAGTGGCAGCATAGTTCTCCCTCATGATGAATCAACATTTCTGTCTGTTGCAACCAGTTAGTATAACTAGGGAACCTTTTGTGGAATCCTGAGTTTTTTCTTATCCCTAGGAGTTCAGAAAGAAGTCATAATTTTAAATGCATACTGAGATGTAAAAAATTCTAGCTAGTTATAAAAAAAGAAAGCATACTCCTAGAAAACAGGAGATTTCAAAGTTTTTACTTGTGAGAAATAAATTCTACAAAATTTGATGTGTGTTGCTGTCAGCAGTGGCACCATTGAATGCAAACACATAAGATTTTCTAACAGAAACTATTAAAAAACTCTGCAGGTGGCAATAGCAGCATGAGAAAAAAATATAGAACTACCTATTCGGCCAGTTGTGACATAAGGCAGTGTATGAGAAAAAAATATAGAACTACCTATTTGGCCAGCTGTGACATAAGGCAGTGGTTCCAAGGTGGAAGTAGGGCAATTCACTTTGCCTTCTCCAGTTCTGTGCCTCTGAAGGCTTCTCTCTTAAAATCCCTTTCAGGGTGCTTTCCATACCTGTTTTCTCCCTCAACTGGAAATTCTGTCCTTAATGGAAAAGAGGAATTTATCCATTTGCTCTGGAATTTCTTGAATATCCAACAGCCTGGGCAAACAGTAGCTTTCTTTCATTTGCACGTCATCCTAGACGTGCACTGTGCACACACAGCTCGACCGTGCCAAGTGTGTACCCTGGGTGTGCTGCAGCTGAGCACTCTGCAGTCATTGCAGTGATGTGGAGCATCATTGTGCATTCATACAGACCACACAGTGCATGCAGACTAGCTCTGGTACACCTGGGATACTGTGCTTCCTGCAGAGACACTGCAGTTAAGGGCTCCCCATGCATCCTCTGCATTCACTCAGGTTTTCCTGATGGAAATATGAGAGCTCTGATTGTCACTTGGGGATTCCTGATATTTCTACTGTAAGTGGGAAAGACATTTGTGGCACAAGGGGCATAACACAGAGGAAGCTATCCCTGTCCACATAGTTTTCTTTCAAAGCTTTGCATTCTGCAGCTGTGTTTACAGGAAAACAATGTGTTGAGTTTTGTCTAAGCAGGCTTTCCACAACACACGGATATATCAGCTAACTTCAGCCCCAGACTTCTCATCACTCAGTTTTGTCAGTGACTCTGAGGAGTCTGTCCTTGCCTCATATTGCTTCAGCAAGGCACAGGCAGCAGGGATAGAACAGCCTAATTATAAGAGGTAGTATATTTCTGGGGTTGTTTTCCTGAAAAACAATCCTCCTTCACATTTAAGTTGATATGGTGTGTGGGTGGGCAAATATTTGCATGAGTGTATGCAAGCACAAACACTTATTACCCTGTTTTGTAAGAAGTACTTTGTTATCACTGCTAACATATACTCACATATCAGTCCAACCAGGCTTCTCTAGTATTTAGGAAGCTCTGAAGGCAGTTTCATATCAGCCATAATATACTCATGAGTTTAATTCTCTTCTGGTTTGAATTTTCTCACATCTTTTTCTTGGGGGAAATAGAAATTTAAAATATGCTGTTCCTTCAAGCCCTGAGGACAAGAGGGTTTGACCTGCACAGATTTTGCTTGAAGGAAAGCAAGCCATAGAGTCTGGTTTAACTTGCTTAACACTGGGGCAAGAAAATTTCCTGAAGAAGCGTCTGGCTTGCTTTCCTGGTTTCTGCTGAGGAAGTGACTTGTCTTCACACAGACACTCAAAAACCCAGCTTCTGAGCCTGTTCCTCACTGTTAAGGAAACTTCCCTGTCTGACCATGCAGGAGCCACTCTGGCAGTCACTCTCACACCACCTGAACCAGGACCGAGGGCACTTCACAGCGACACACCACACACTCACACAGTCAGACTAGCTTTCCTTACTGCCTCAACACCAGGTGTCCTACAGCAGCGTCTCAGACAACCAGATCCTTAAAATAATTTAATAAAGCTCAGCCTGCAGCTTGCACAGCAGCTGCACACCGAGCTGCCTGCACTGAACGTGTTCCTCAACACTCACATTGTCACCGATAGGGAACCGCAGAGCTGAACTGGGCAGGTGCTGTTCCCTTTCTTGCTGTGGTGAGCTATTCTCTGCATTCTTTTTTTTTTGGCAATAGGCATAGCAGAGTTGGAGGAAAAAAGGAGAAAGTGTACAAGTAGGAGCTGCAAGATGTAACAGTCTTAAATCAGAGTAGCATTCGGTCATCTCCCAGAACAGAAGAAGGGGGATGGTTCTCAAGCAGCAAGGCATAAGCAAGTATTTATTTTTCAGGAATTATGGCAAATTTTAATCCAAATTAATACAGTGAATGGAAAATTGCAATCCTGAAGAGCAATAAAGTGTGTTCTTTAGGCACAGGGGTGTCTGCTAGAGTCACAAGCCCCCCATAAAATCCATTTTTCTGTGTATGGATCTGTCAAGGAAAAATCCAAGTTACCTAATATGTTAGCAAAGTGAAACACTGCTATCCTAGCCCTGCTTGTTTTCTGATACTTTTGAGCTCTTGTCTTAACTGTCTTAAGTGAACCCGTTTCTTTGTTATTTCTCTGGTTTTCTTGGGACTTCTATTTGTATCACATTTTAAGTTAACCTGAAGATTAATTGTGGCACCATTGTTGCATTTGGTAGGTTTGTTCCACATGGATCATTTTCTGGCAGTGATCAAATTATGGCTAATGAAGGAGCTGGACTGGCATTAACTCCCAGGAAGGAACATTTTATGCTGTTCATCTGGGCTCCTCCTCTGATATTCTCTTTTCTTCTAGGTTAGTTTAATGGAGGTTAGAGAGTGGCTTAGACAGGCCTAGTTTTTTAATGGGAATGTCTGAGAAGCTCAGGACTTTTTGTTCAAGTAGATTGAAGGATCTCTTGAGTTGTAGGTTCTGAGGAGACTTACTATGCAAGTACCTGCTTGGAAAGACAAAGCTGTAGCTCATCCTGTTGTTGAATAGTGAGCTGGACTAGGACTCACACCACCTCGGCCAGATCTGTGACTCCCTTCTTGCTCTTGGAATAATGCAGAGGTTCATTGCAGGCTAGAGAAAAATAAAGAGGATTGAAGATGGTCACAGTTGTCTCAGAATCAAGATACTCTCTTTATTCCTTTCCATGGATAAGCCTCCTAACAGGAGAATATAAATAACAGGAGGACTTTTTTTAAAAGGTTACAGAGAAGTAATTGCTGAGATGCATTGTGTGGAAAGGAAGATGAAGATGCAAAAGCACTGCAAGTACAATCGAAGTGATAGATTTTATTTCAGATAGACTACTCTGGCAAGAATGCAGATTTCAAAGACAGCCCTTTTATCTGGTGGACAGATGCTTGTCATGGTAAAGTTGCTTTCAGGCACAAAGGAGTGCATCACAGACTTTGTTGCTTCCTACACCTAAAGTTCCCCACATTTAAATAAACACTGTAATAGTGCCACAACCTTAGGGACAAGGTTTGTTCAGCACTGTTTACCTGTTTGCGGTCATTTTGGCTGAACGTGTCAAACTTTTCCTTCACTTGCCAGTGATAGATTTTTAATGTTTCTGATGACCTTGGGGCCAGGACCAAGAGAATGAAGATGACTCTATATGATTTTTAAATCAGAAAGAGTTTTGATTAGCATGGATGAGATAAGCATAGGAAGGCCCAAACAAGGATCCACTTGGTGATGTCAATCAGCAGAACATAATTTCACAGCAAGAAGCAATGACTCACTCTGTACCAGAACAGACCACCCATATATCCTTCGTGATTATTCTTTGCTACAAGAGGATGCAATAAACTTAGATGGCTACAGTGCTCCCTTGCCTTTTTACTCACCATTTGCAGCCATATGCTTCCCTTGCTGTCAGTGTCTGCAGGACACAGCAGGGAAGTAGATTCTTTTTGAG